GTACTAAAGGCACCCTGGACTTTAGGAGTTTTAGCGAGGCATGGTGCTGTCTATCTATAATCCCAGCATTTGGGAAGCTGAGGCAGGAAGATTACTTCAAGTCTGAGATCAGCCTGGAAAGTATAGTAAGACTCTGTCCCCCGCCTAAAAAAGCAACCTCCCTAAAGCCTTTATTTAATATGCAAGATGATATAAAAACATTGGTAATTTTGTATGTAGATCAGCGAAATGGATTTATTCGGCTTTGTAAAATATGACAAACACTACTTTGGCCTGTCCTAACGTTTTTGTTTTGTTTTGTTTTTTTTTGTGGAACCAGGGCTTGAACTCAGACCCTTGCGCTTGCCAGGGAAGTGCTTATTCTACTGAGCCATCATCTCCCCAGCCCCTCTGTTCTAACTTTTTTCCCTTTCATGTGGCTGCCAGAAAATTTGAAATGATGTATGTGAAACTCCCTTCACCGCCAGGCTAGCTGGAACCCATCCAGCGGGCAGGCGCAGGGGCTGGGCCTCGGGAGCCCTGCCTGGCACCTGCTGCGCTCGCTGCTGCCGACCCTTGTGCCTTGCATCAGAGCTGCTCGGAGGCTGCTCTGTCTCATACGCAGCAGACACATTTTCTTTACTGCAAACCTGACAAACTCCTACTCACCCCTCAAGGGCTCACTGTGCCACTCTGCCTTTTCCACCCTCTACTGCAGTTTCAGCCCTGGGCTCCTCCAGCCCCAGGTCCCTCCCTTCGTGCTCACAGCCTTCCATGGCCCTCTGAAGCTCTCTGCAGCCTGACTTCTGCCCTCTCCACAATCCTGTGGCCCTGCTTGAGCCAACAGAACTTGGATGACAACAAACCCCTGGCTGAACAGCTTGGGGCATCTGGCTTTTTCTGCCTTGGACAAGCCCTCGGAAGGGCCTGCAGGGTGCCGTGCCCAGGCCCAAGCCAGAGGGCCCAGGGCAGGCTACACTTCCCTCTCGCTGTTCTGTGCTCTCCCAGCAAAAGTTGGGTGGTTCAGAGAGGGGAAATGACCTGCCCAGGGCTGCACAGCAGGCCAGGGGCCACACAGAGGCGGGCTGGGGGTGGAAGCAGTGAGTTTCATCACCCCCTAGCCTTGGCCGGGTAATTATAGCCCCGGCTGCCACAGGCCCTGCTTACTCAACGATCTGCCTGGTGTGACTCAGAGGGGCCCCTAGGCTTCTGGGCCTGCAGGGGGTGGGGGTGGGGGCTCCCAAAGGGGGCACAAAGAGGAAGTGGGGGCCTGTGCAGAAACGACCAGCCCCATGAAGAGCTCTCTGTGCCTCAGTTTCCCTGACACAGGTGGGACCAGCCCCACGCTGGGCCTGGGTGGGTGTGGCCCAATTCGGGCTAAGTCATGGCGCAACCAGACTGGACCTGTCGTGGTCCTGGTGGCAAGTGGAGGGCAGGCCAGGCCACCTCACTGGGCAGGACCCTCTGGCCATGCTGTCCCCTCCTGAGTTTACTTAGAGGCCACCTGAGAACTCCTACCTGCAAGAGGAAGCTCCCCAGATGTCCAGCACCCTAAACTCACACAGCAGACTGCCCTTTGCCCTCACCTGGCACCCCTGGGTGCCAGAGCCCAGCCGCACCTTCCTCACCCAGCTGCCGGGGAGGGGGTCAAACCCTGGTTCCTGTCCTGAGGGGTGAGGCCAGGAAGCTGGGACAATGGCCTCTTTCTTCAGCCTTGAGAGGCGTGGCTGGGGAACCCCAGGGCGGCCAGGCTGGGGGCAGGGGGTGACGCTGAGTCACCCAGCCTGGCTGGGTCCCTACTGCCAGCCCCCCACCCCCACTGGGCCAGCCCGCCCTCTGTCCACATGGGCCAGCCAGCCACCTCTGGACTCTTAAGACCCAATTGGAAACCACTGGCCTGACCTTGAACTCTTCCAGCTCAGGGACTAAGCCCACAGCTCCTGCCTGGGCCCTTCCACCTCCGCTGGCTGCAATCCCAAGCCCAACCGGCCTCAGGGCCTTTGCACAGGCGGCCAGCAGCCTAGGACACTTTTCCCACAGCTCCTTCCAAGCTCAACTTAAATTTTTCCACCAGCACTCCCTCCCTTGGTGGCCCCACAGGGACTTGAGCCTGTCCACTATTATGTCCTTCAGTGCTTGGAACAGAGCCCAGCATACAGCAGGTGCTTAAAAAGTGCTGACCAGGCTGGGTGTGGTGGCACACGCCCATAAGCCCAGCACTCGGGAGGCTGAGGCAGGAGGATCATTGTGAATTCAAGATCAGTCTGGGCTACAAAGTGAGCTTAAGACCAGCCCGAACTGCACAGCAAGAACCTGTCTCAAAAAAAAATAAATAAATAAAAAATCAAGATATGCTAACCAAACCAGGCATGATGACACACACTTGTCGTCCCAGTACTTTGTGAGGCTAAAGCAGGAAGACCACAGTTCAAGCCCAGCCTGGTCAAATCTTCATGAGCTGCTGAGACACTGCCTCAAAAAATAAAGAGCTTAAGACCAAATAAATATATAATAAATAAACACTGGCCAAGCGAAGCCAATGACCCCTCCCCAGCCAGCTGTCTGTACTAGGGGTTCTCTTTCTCCCATAGCAAAGAAAACTAAGAATTTCTCAATACAGGTAACTACCTGAAACCAGAAGGCTCACTCTCCACCCCACTGTGGGCAGGCTCTTCACACCTCATACACTGTGGGGTTATTTTCTGTCCTGCGGATTGAATCCAGGCCCTTGCACTACATAGTATCCTCCTGCCTCAGCTTCCCAGAGTGCCAGGATCACAGGCATACTCTCCTGTGCCCGGTCACACCGTGTTGATATGGCCGTTTCTTCCACAGTCAGGAAGCCACGGGGACAAGAATGGCCTGAGAGGTGTGGCGGGGCTGGAGGCGCTCACCTGGTGAAGCGGACCTTGCAGATGTTGCACTCATAGGGCTTCTCGCCGGTGTGTGTGCGGATGTGGCGCGGCAGCTTGCCGGCACCCTGGATGACCTTCTCACAGATAGGGCACTTCTGGAAGGCCTTGGCTCGGATCTTCTTCTCACCTTTCTGTGACCACGCTGGGTACACATCCCCCTCGTGGGCGCCGCTGAAGTACTTCAGGTAGTAGTCCATGACGCCCTTGTCCTCGGCCCGAGACTCCTCATCACTGTCCCCACCCGCTAGTGCCCCCGCCCGGCCCACCGACGACATCATCTGCTGCAGCAGCGTACTGGCTGCCAGTCCGTCCACATCACCAGCATCCCCATCCTCGCCCTCCGCCGTGCCCGACAGGAAGCCCGGCGAGTCCCCAGGCTCAGGTGCCGCCTCCGAAAGCGAGGCCGCCTCCTCTTCACCGGTGCGGCCATAGTGGCCATTCTGTGTGGCAGCTGGTGGGGCCACAGGTGGCTGGAAGAGACCGCCTGCAGTGGCGGTGGCCGGAGCATCCTCATCCTGCTCTGGCCATAGACCTGGGTTGCTGTCACCTTCATCTCCTTCAACCACAGGGGGCCGATCAGCTGGGGGACCTGGACCATAGAAGTCTAAGCCATTGCAATCACCTGCAGCCACAGCAGCCACAGCAGCTGCAACGGCCTCTTTGGTGGCATCTAGGTCATCATCGGACGCCCCAAAGGCGGACCATGGGAAGTTGGCAGCGGCGGCAGCAGCGGCAGCGGCAGCAGGGGGCAGGCTGTTCATGGGGTTGCTCTGGAAGAACTCCAGGTACTCCTTGGCGCGTAGCAGGTTGCGCTGGTCCACCTGATCCACGAGGTCGAGCTGGCTCGAGTCGCCACCTGCATCTGCCGCCAGTATTTGCCGGTCCAGGAGATCGGCGCACACGTGGCTCACAGCTGGGATCTCAAGCAGGCGCGCGGCACTGAGGATGTCGCCCACGTTAGCTGTGCTCACCGTAAGCGTGGCGGTGTAGGCGAAGTCCATGAGTGCGGTGAGTGCGTCGGCGCTCACGAAGTCGATCTCATACACGTTCTGCTGGTCTACCACAGCGCCCGACGTGAACAGCTTCTTGAAGTACTGGCTGCAGGCAGCCAGCACCGAGCGGTGTGTAGGGAACTCACGGCCCTCCACCAGGATCACCACGTCGCACAGCAGCCCCTGCGTCCGCTGCTCATTCAGCCCACTCAGGATGTCACTGCTGTGGTCGGGGAACGGGATCCCAATGGGGCCGTCCACGCCGCCGGCCATCTTCCGCGCCGAGACCTGTGGGATTGGGGTGGGGTGGGGAGAACACTGCTGTAAGCATGGTGGTCCTGCACCCAGGACCCTGGGCAACACCTGACCTCACAGCTGGTCTTGGTGTCCCCAGCTATGCATAAGGTTATTCATGTATCCTTAGTTTATCAGCTGTACAGGAGAATGCTCAAGCGCCTTAACCTCGACCTTTTTTATCTTTGAGACAGGGTCTTGCCATATAGTCCAGGCTGGCCTTGAACTCAGGGTAATCCTGCCGGATGTGATGCACACCTGTGATCCCAGCTGTTGGAGGGAGGATCCTTGCAAGTTTGAGACCAGCCTGGGCTACAAACTAAGCTCAAAGCCAGTCTGAACTCTCAAAAAGAAAAAAAGAAAAAGCATTGGGGCTGGGGAGATGGCTCAGTAGAACTCCCCACTTCCACCAAAACAAAAAAACAAACAAAAAAAACAACATGAATTTTTTGCTGGGTATGGTGGTGCACATCTGTACCCCCAGCACTGGGTGGCTGAGGCAGGAGGACTGCCCCAAGTTCCAGCCTATTTCTAGGCTATACAGTGAGATTTAGGCCAGCCTGAAACACATAGCAAGACCTTGTATGCAAAAAAAAGACTAGACTAGACTGTGTCTCAAAGACAACAAAAAACCTCAAGGTGTTCCTCCTGCCTCAGCCTCCTGACTGCTGGGATTACAGATATGTGCTACCATGCCCAGTTTTAATCCTAATCTATTTTATGCATGACATAATGCTAGTGAAAAGTACTCTAGCTGCAGCGAGAGAGGTGGGGGCCAGGTGGGAATCCAGGTCATAGGGCACCTGGAGGTCTGTGAGGCACACAGTAGGTACCCAAGCAATGTACCAGGCAGGGACAGGTGCAAGGTCCCTCCTCTAAGCCCATCTGTGACCCCCAAGCCCTGGCACTCAGCTCCTTGGAGGAAGAGAAAACAACTTGGGAGGGGCCACTGTGTGTCACCATCTGTCGAGGAGAGCTAAACCCTACCCAAACTTGGCCCCTGTGACCCCCGTCTCCTCTGGGGACTCTTGAGTTGGCACAAGGAGCAAGGTGGAACCCTGGGCACCCAGGTTCAAGACCTGGCTGTGTTCAAGGGAACAGAGGGTGTGTCCCATGGGGAAAGGGCCTGTGGCAGCTGACAAACCTCTTCCTGCCCATGAGCCCCCAGGACGGGCTCAGTGTGGAAGTGAGTAATAGGGAAGACCAAGTAGCGCCCGGGCGAGGCCTCAGGAGGGGCCAGGGCTGAGGGCCTTCCACTCGCCTCTCTACAACTCAGCTCGGCCATGAAGCCTGCAGCAAGATCCTGGTGCTCTTTGGACCTCAGTCTCCCCATCTGTCAAATGGGCCCTGATTCCTGAAGGCACAGGCCCCTGGAGGACCGTCCAACCCACTCCTCTCCTCCACCCGCTCCTTTCTGCTTCCCCTGAGCTGTGACTCATCCGCCCACCCAAGGCCTTGTGCAACCCTCTGGCTCCTGTCCCCAACCCTCCACCCTCACCAGGGAGCCCCGTACCACCCAAAGCCAACCATGCTCCTCCGGTTCCTCTGGGCTGGGCCCAGGCCTCTCCCCGGTAACAGGGCCTAGTCCAGGCCTCCTGAGGCCCATGGGACCCCTCTGACTGGGGTCTCACCCGGTGGTCCGGTGTCTGCCCACCCCAGCAGTCCTTGGCGCGGGGTCTGCCATGGCCACACAGAGGCCTTTGTGCAGCCTGCTCATTGCCAGGGCTCTAGCCCTCCACCCACCCTCCTTCCCGCCACACCAGCTGCTGGGGGCCCCCCTTCCTCCACCCAGCCACCCGCTGTGGGGAGGGGCTTGGGAGGGGCGGCTCAGATGTGGCTGCCAGGAACAGGGGGGCCAGGATGGGGAGGACCCTGCACGTGCCATGGCCCCGGAAAGCCACTGAGGAGCCCCCTTTGGTGGCTTCCACCCCCTGCCACCATCTGCCGTCTGACCCCCACACCTCGGGCCACACGTGGACAGATGGGGCTTGGATCAGACAGACCGACCCCTGCTCGCCAAGGCCTGCCCCACACATCACAGACAGAACTCTGACCAAGGTCCCCAGGGCCCCCAAGATGGCTACCCAAGAACACTGGGCTGTCCTCCCTCAGGTGACCTGGTGCTCCCTGCCTGGTGTCCTGGGGGACCTTGGTGGTCGAAGTAACTCAGCCGCCACTGCTTCCTCTACTGCCCCTGGATGAGGAGGCCACCTGGGCTTTCTACCAGTGCTGCACCCAGGACCAGAGACTGCCTGAGCCCTACTTCAAGGGTCGAGATGCCCTGGCACAGGAGGGACCTCCAGTCCTGGCTGGGTCTGAACAACCATCTCTCTCTGGGATCCCTTCCCCCAAACATCATCCGCTTGGCCCAAGGACCAGGCCCTGGGGAGAGGCTGGCCATGCCAGGAAAACTCCCATGAGTGTCATGGTTCCCATATGACAGGTGGGAAAATCAAGGCCCAGAGAAGGATAGAATCCTGATCCAAGACATCCAGGAAGGCAATCTGCTTGGGCTGGGGTCCAGATGCCAGTCCCCCACCCACCCGGACAGGCGGCTCCTGCCCTGGCCCTGCCAACACCTGGCCCGCCCTCTCTCCAGGAACAGGAGGCACCTGTTGGCCACACCCTGTCACCGCCCCCACCTGGGCCTCCTGGGGGGCCTCTACCTGTGACAAGGGCCAAGACCCTGCCTGTAGGTGGGGGGAGATGAGTTGGGGGTCGCCAGCCCCTGGGGTCCCCACAGGCTGCACACCCACTACAGGACTGACTGACACTGATACCCAGTAGGGTCCTAGAAGTGGCTGCTGTGTCTCCTTCCCTTGGGAGCCCCAGCCCCACCCTGGAGGACCCCTGAGGCTAGGCCCTTCCCCAGCCCTGCCACGGCTCCACCCCCACGCTGCCTATGTGGGACTTCTGGGATGCACAGTGCTGACTTGGCCTCAGCCACCCCACAAGGGACAGGCCCCAGCAGATCCCTCCTGGGCTGCAGGTGGCACACAGTAGGGTGACTACCAGATGAGGCCAGGCTTGCGGATACCCCCAGCCCACTCCTGCCTGAACACAGGCTACATGCTGTAACTGCTTTTCAAAGTGGCAGGATGCAGGCTTTGCTTCAGCCTGTCCCCTGCTCCTGGAGCTTCTACAGACTGAACAGGTGCCTTAGACTCATCCTCCTCACACCCAGGAGAGGCTCAGACAGGTACTGAGACCCACCCAAGGTCACACAGCACACAGGTGGCCAGGCCAGGGCTCAGGTGCTTCAAAGGGAGCTGCTGCCACCTCCTGGCTTCCGGGGACATGAAGTGAGGTCAGAGAACAGCAAGTGTCCTTGGGGGAGACCCCAGCACTGAGAAGCTGAGGGGAGCAAGGAAAAGGGGGACCTCCTAAGGATCCCAGTTAAGGTGACGGATAGGGCCCAGCCTCCTTCTACCCATGATCCCCAAGGACAAGGAACACTGGGCACGTAACAGCCACCCACAGCCTTCCTGGAGGGCACTTCTGGGGTAGGGGACCACTCAATGAGGGGCCGGATCCTCTGCCTTCCAGGAAGAGAAGTGAGAGGCACAGGAGGAGCACTGCACACCTACTGGGTGCCACACAGGACAGCCTGGGCTCACACGCAGGTCCTCCTCACGCGCTGTGTGACCCAGCTACAGATACAATCTCTCTGAACCGCCGCTTCCCCAGGATCCTAGCAGTGGAAAGAAAAGGGTCCCCTGGAGAGCCAGCGAGTACAGTCCTACTCGTGTCCAGGCAGCAAACCCAGCTGAGGACCTACTGTGTGTCTGAGCCAGTCCCCCAAAAGTCCCACCCAGCCTGTCTACTGCCCACTCCCTGAAGACAAGAGGGGAACGTGCTTGTGGAACCTGGTTGTTCAGCGTTATTCCAGGAATCCAGCCCACTTCCACCTACTATGTGCCGGGCAAGCAGGCGACACAGACCAAGAAGGAAAGCAGAAGGTAAAGCCAGACCCTGACAGGGTGGGTGGCTGGCCCAAGGTCACACATGGAGCTAGGCTGGCCCCTGCAGTACCCCCCTCCCCACCAAAGTGCCGGGGATCACCAAGGCCCAGGGTGGCTCACAGCCGGCAGCCAGTCCACCCCTTGCCTGCCTGCCCGCCTCCCCTGCCAGGCAGCAGTCCTCCCTTGGGCCAGACCTGGAGCAAACAGGGCCCACAGGGCCCTCGGCCATTTTACATGTCCATTTATTGCCCTAAGTGGGGAGGGGCTTCCTGCCCAGGCCTTAAAGGGCCAGAAGCAGGAAAGCAGCCAGCCCAGTGGGAAGTGTGTGTTCATGGGGGGCAGAGATGGCTGTGGACAGTCATCAGACCCTGACTCCAGGATGGGACCAAGGCCCACTCTGTTCCCACACTCCCAAGTGCCATCATGGACCAGGAAGCCCAGAGCCAGGAGGCTGGGTTCCCAGGGGAAGCTTCAACCACCCCCAAAAGGGGCAGAGAGAATGAGCTTCCTGTCATCAGGGGTGAGCAAGACTCGGCTCTGCAGAATCCCATCGCTGCCACCCCACCTGCTCTTCTAAATACCCTCTAGACTGCAACGACCTGACAGACCTGTTTGTCACCTGGAGCCATCTGTAGTGTGCCATGCCTGGCATGGCTGCTGGAGAGCCTCAGCCTGGAAGCCCAAGGTAAAGGGGCTCAGGTGATGTGCAGAATCCGGCCGGATCCCTATTACACACGCCCTAATGGGACAGGCCTTGTTTTCCAGTTAGACCAGAAAGGCGTGGGTGGGGACACTTCTACCAAGTGACCGACCACAGCCTGCTGAGGGGACAGATGGAGGGGCTGGCCCTCTGGCCTACCTCTGTACCAGTGCCAGATTCTCCCTACAGGACACCAGGCCTGATTCTGGTTATGAGTACTGTACTCTATGCCCATGCTACTGGCTCCAAGAGGCAGGCCCAGAGAGGGGTGGTGACTCCCCCCAGGTCACACAGCAGAACTGGAATCCAAACACAGGCTATTTAACCAACTTGGCCAGCCTGACTAGTCCTCCCAGATCTATCCCCTCCCGTCGCACACAGCCCCTAGGTAGCAGCAGGCCATGAAATCCCCCACCCTGAGGCCTGGGGACCTAGGATGGCCTAGTAGATACTCAGGCTCTCAGGGTCCTCAAGAAAGGGATTGGCAGTGTTTAGATCAAAACCCTCAACAGCTGTTCCCAGGGCCTCCCAGAGCAGTTCCAGGGTGCGCTGGAGACAATATCCACATAATGTCCCCAAAGGTGTCCCGTTGCACTGACAGAAAAGCTGAGGCCGGCAGACAAGACGTGGCGGCCCTGGATGAGTCCCAGATGGAGCAGGGCCTGGCCTAGCCTGTTCCGCTGGTCTCTGCCACCCAGAGCTACTACAGGGCGGTTCAGAACATAACAGGGAGGGGACAAGGTGACTTGGTGGGGGTTCTGAGGGTGTCTCAAGTGGCCGGATGACCTACGCCCGACACCCAAGCATCTAGATCCCAAGTAGCTGGAGCTGGCCCAGGGTGCTCCCTCCAGCACAAGGGAGGGGGTGAATGCAGGGGATCCGCAGGCTCTACTGGGGTCTTCAGGGCAGAGGAGGCTCCTGGTAGTCCAAGCTCAGCCAGTGCTGCTTTAAAAAAAAGTGGACCTGGGATATGGCTCTGGAGAGGTGACCCCAGTCCCCCTGGGCACAACAAACGGAATGGGAAAGGGCCTTGCTGTCACCTGGCACAGCCTACATTCCGGAGTGCCTGCCTCATGAGGCTGGGAGGCAGGAGCTCTGGGTCTCATGCTGGGTGACCTTGGGAGTCTCGCTGGCCCTCTCTGAGCACAATGTCATCTTCAGACAGAACCTGGGTGACTGTTCATGTGCTTGCTCATGACAGGTGATGGAGGACACAGGTGGGCAGGTGCCCAGGCCATACCACCCAAGGGATTTTAGAAAGGCTCTACAATGAGGGGTCGGATGTAGCTACAAATGTGACCTTGGGCTGCTCTCTATTCCTCCATGCCACCAGCTCCTCTGTCCACCAACAACTCTGACACCCAGCTTGCTCTAAAGACCAAAGCTGCCTAGGTCACTGGGGGGGCCTCGGCTCCAGCCTCATACGGTAGCAAGGACAGCCACCAGGTGGACCAAGCTCCAGATTAGATGGCTGCAAGGAAACAACACAACAAACCCCAATACACCAAGGTCTCACTCCTATCCCAGGGACCTTCCTCACAGCCAGGCTGGGCTCTGCCTCAGTCTCCCTCAAAAAGCAAGGGCTCACGTGCGCCCTGCAGTGCCTGCTTCCCTTCCCCAGGCTAAGAGTTGGTGGCTCCCAGCCCAGGCCAGGGTGCTGACTGGTCCACACGCAGCCAATCAGAACTGAATAATAAATACCCCCCCAAAGTGACCCACGAATTAAAATTTCAGTGTCCCCGTTGGGTCCTCTTTCCGGCATGAGGCTTGGCTTCTCCAGCCGGCGGCGGCTGAGGTCCCCCTCCCCCAGGCCCGTCTCCTCAGAGATGGTGGAGACGGTAGGCCGTAAACAGAGCCCCGAGCCCAGCTGAGAGGTGCCAGGCCTAGCCAGAGCCCCATGGGAGATGGTCCTGAGAGAACACAGCCCTGCCAGCCTGGAGCCCTCTACCCTGCCTGGGCCTAGGGACCTCTCCTAGGCCAGTTCTCCCAATAGGAAGTAATCAGGCCGATGGAGGAGAGGCCTCCCCCAGTGTGGGAGCGGCACACTCAGGGTTACGCCCTGGCCCTGGCCATGGCCCTGGGTGGGGGGGCTGACATGGAATCCCGGACGCCCTCTCCGGTGGCTTCGAGAGGCAGCTGGCAGGGAGGAGAAGGGGGGTGGCGGGCTAGCCACCCATGGGTGAGCCAGGTGGGCCCGCTGGAGGAAGGGGCACGCACACCTCTCTCACTTCCGCCGCCTGGCTGGGGGGAGAGAAGGCGCTGCCGGCTTCCCCGTGCAACACCGCCAAGTCCTCGCTGCCAAACTCTTAGTAGACAACCCCTGAGTGCCTTGGGCCTGGCTGGACAGCAGCGTCCTGCGGCGGTCCCTGGGTTCCCCAGTGGGCCACAGGAGCAAACGCGGGGGAGTCGGTATCTCCTAGGAGCCATAAAGGCCTGGTCCTAGCAATGGACCGGCTTCAGAGCTTCGCTGAGCCCCCGGCCAGGTCCGCAGCCCCAGGCTGGGGGAGGGAGGAAGGGAGAGCGAGAGGGGGAGGGGACCAGATCGCGCGGCTCGCCCCTCCTGCCCGGGCGTAGGGCTCGCACGTGGTGCTTGGCGTCAAGGGGAAGGGGGGGGGTCCGGCCAGAGGAGACGGGGTCACGCGCTCGGGGGCGCGGGCGGGGATCGGGGGCCGCGCGCGCAGGCGGAGGCGCCGGGCCCAGTGAGGGAGGGAGCAGGAAGCGCCCCGTCCCACCACGTCGCGGCCCCCACCCCGACCCCGCCGAACGGGAGCGGGCTCCTACCTCCTTCCCGGGGCAGCGCGAGGGGCCCGGCCCCGGCGGCGGCGGCGGCGGCAGCGGCTGGGCTGGCTCCTCCGAGGCCCGGGAGGCGGCAATGCGCCTGGCCCCGCGCCACCCCCCGCCGCCGGCGGCCAATCCCCACCCGGGCTGGGGGGAGGGCGATGCAAATTACCCCGGATCTGGGCCCGCCCGCCCGCCACCTCCCCCGCGCCCCGGCCGGCCCGCGCCAGGCCGCGCATCCCCGGGCTCGCCTGCACCGCACAGCCGCCTCATCAACACCCTACCAGGGGAGCTCCCTCGAAGAAGAGGGGGTCCCCGTTTTTGGGTTAGGGGACCCGAGGGGAAGGGGGCTGGGGGCAGTTACACAACAAGCGGGAGGGGCCCGAGGCGGGGAGGGGGCGGCCCGCGGCCGCGCAGCCGGAAGCCGGGACCGCCACCGGCCCCCGGCTAGGGGAGCCGTCGCAGGCCCCGCCTCCGCGTAGGCTCCACCCGCAGCGCCGCGCCGAGCCGTCGCCCACACTCATTGGCCAGTGGGCCCGCCGCTCACCGCCCCTCCTCTGCATTACCCCTCCCCGTGGGCCTCGGCGGGCCGCAGGCGCGGTGTACTCTGGGACTAGTAGTTCTTACCTCCTGTCACCTACCAGTCACAAGCGGCCTAGAGACCACGACACCCAGAAGGCTCCGCGATCCCTCCCGCCCACCCTCCCGGACACCCCACCCCTTCCCCTCCTTTGCAAAGCCCCCCTCCCTGTTTTTTCAGCCCCCTCCCCCCCATCCCCCATGAAGCTCCATCCTGGCCAACTCCAACGTATGCACGCAACACCGAATAGGCCCCCGCTGGGGTAGGGGGAGAGGTGAAAGAGCCCCCCGAGCCGGACGCGGCAGCAAAGTTAGCACGCGACGCGCCCCCCATCTCCCCACGCCGGTTTCCCCCTACACCCTCAATGCATCCCAGCTTCCCCTCCCCCGCTTCTCCGCGCCTGGGAGCCCCGAAAGCCAAGCACCCGGGTGGGGTTGGGGGGGCGGCTGGCGCACAAACCATGCACTTCGCCCCCAATTCCCTCTCCCGGTCCCGGGCTCCTAATTTGGGGCGCCTCTGAGCCACTACCAGGAGGACCCCGGTGTTGGAAACTTGGGGGCAGGAAGGTCCCCTAGTCCAGGTCCAGGCGCAGGGTGGGAGCCGCGCAAGCCCCCTCCCCGCGGTCCCCGCCCTGCAACCCGCGCCTTCGGGCGCTGTGGACTCACCTCGCGGGGCCGGGGCTCGGACCGGGCCGGGGCGCGGGGCCGGGGCCCGGAGTCGGGGACGGGGCGCCCTCGGCCGGCGGGGTCCTTGGCGCTCGCGCTCCCCGGGCTAGCGCTCGGCCCGTGGCGCTCCTCGCTCCGGCAGCGGCGGCGTCACTGCCCCTACAGTCACCGTACAGTACAGCAAAGCCCCGTATGATGCTCGCGACTCCCTTCCTGGTTTCTCCGAGGGCAAGAGGGGTCCTCCCTTGTCTTAAAGGTGCCGCAGCCGCCGCCCCCCCCACGCCCAGCCCGCCCCCCCCACCCCGCGCCCGAGCCTCGGAGGCCAGAACAGGCTCTGCAGGTCCGCTCTTGCCACGTCCCTGCCCTCCCGTGGGGTTTCGCCCCGCTGCGCCGGGGAGCCCGAGCTGTTATTAGGTTTTGTGTCAAGTTGTGGGGAGTAAGGGGGGGTCCAGCCCGCCTCTGCGCGCGCCCCCCTCCCTGACCTCTCAGCCCCGCGCGCGGCCCAGTGCCAGGCGGCCGGCTTATCTGGCCCCAGAGCTCCCCGGGGCGCGGGGGGGTAGAGGCGCCCCCGGTGCAGGGGGTGGGGGCTCCAGATAAACAGGCCCCCAGCCTCGGCGCGGCAGGGCGGGGTGCAGGGGGCTCGGGCTTTGCCCCTGACGCCCGGGGCGTGGCGCGTTGGCAGCGGGGCGGGGAGCGCCGTGAGCACTGGCGATGCGGGCGTGGGGCGCGCTCCTCCGGCGGTCGGGTGGGCAGTTGGGTGACTGGGTGAGAGGCAGGGTAGGGAAATGAACGCGTGGAGATCCCCTACCCCCACACCCACACACCCTGGGCCAAGCTCCTGTGCCTCGCAGGCCTCAGTTTGCCCAGCCTGCGCAAGGGACCCCAGGCTTTGCCAGAACCTAGATGGCGAGAGCCCGCCAGGGTCCCCGAAGGCTACAGGAGACCTGCCGTCCTGTGATTATATAAAGCGGTCGCCTCCACCCGCGGCTGCCAGGGGCGTAGCGCGGGGAAGGGGTTGGCGAGGGGGCGGGGAGGAGGAGGAGGAGGAGAGAGGTTGTTTTCCAGGCTTTCCCAAGTTCCCCCACCCAACTGTAGGTCACTGGGCGGAACAGGGGACCCAGACCCGTAGTCCTGGGTCCTGCGTCCTGCTGCCGCACGAATCTGCGTGGCTTAGGAGGGGCGGAGGTGGGCAGTGGGGAGGTGTTGGCTCAGCTCAACTTTATTATTATTTTTTTCGTCTGTCTTTTCTCCTACTTCCTCCCTGGTCGTGGGAGAGGTCTGGCGGAGGAGAGTGAAGGAGAAGAGGGGACAAATGGTGAGAACAGCGTGACCGGGGCTCACTGGCTGCCCCCATGCGCACAGTAGGCGCCCTGTGCAAACACTTGGGAAGGGACTGGCGGGATGCGATCGGCTACCAGGGATGCCGTGGGAGGAGACTTCGGGCCTCAGTTTCCCCTCCATTCGCACCCCGATGTGGAAGGCTGCTGTCCGTTGTTTCAGTGCCTTCCTTGGGCGCTTACCCGGTGGCTGTCACAGTTCAAGGAGATCCGCTTGCCTCCAGGTTAACCTCTAATCCTCTTGTCATTCGTATTATTTGTCATTATTATTATGAACACCACTATGTTATATAGAGGCCCCAAACTACCGCAGCCTGAGAGAAATGGACCTGTTCTGCTCCGTGGCTTCAAAGCATCGCCCCCTCCAACACGGGACTTTATTGCTTTTTCGCTCAAGAGATTAAAAGCGCCTTTCAACACCCATGCGGGTTGAATTGGCTTTTGTAATAATCATTGGCTTCCAGGGGAACCCCGGGGAGGCTCCCAGAGGGGAAGTGACGGCCCCAGGACTTGCAGCGAAACCAGCCGAGTAGGTGGGAAGGAACCGAGGGAGGCGCCATGGGTCCGGAGGAGGGTGGAACCGGGACTTTGCCCCGAGTGCTGCTGTGAGAGCTCCTGTTCCCCAAACCTGCGGCAGGCAGCTCGGCGGCCTGGAAGCTGGAGATCAAGAGAGACCCAGCCCATACAGCGGCGATCTGCAGAGAGCTAAAGCCCGGGCTTCAGCCCTCAAAGGGCTAAGCTCCCCAATGGCAGCAGGGCTGTCTGCGACTCAGTTTCCCCCACTGTACTCACCGCTCCGAGATATCCTATCTTTTTATTTTTATTTATTTATTTTTGGCAGAACCGGGGATTGAACTCAGGCCCTTGCACCTTGCTAGGGAAGCGCTTATTCTACTGAGCCATCCCCTGGCCCCCTGGGCCATTTCCCTGGCCCCCCGAGATATCCTATCAGAAAGGACCCAGAGGAGTCATTCCTACAGGGTCTGGACAGAATCTATAAAATTCTCAGCGGAGTTTGGTGTCGTGTCCGACTTCGTTGCAGCCCAGAAAAAGAGTAGCGTTTGTCTGACACTCCCAAAAACAGGCCCTGAGAGGGACTCAGAGCAAGGATCCAACTCCAGACATTGCCAGGGGCAGTTGAGGGTCCTCAGGGACTTGGTAAGGTGGCACAGTCCCCTTCACCTCCACTCCTACTCCAGGAGCAAGAACAGAAAGTGAGGCAGGGCTTTGTCCTTAGTCCTGCTGTTACCGCTGTACTCCCCCCCACCCCCCACCTGCCCACCCCGTCAAAAAAAAAAAGAAAAAGAAAAACTACCTGAGTTTGCTATTTTAAAACCTAAGATATTGGGGCCGGGGAGATGGCTCAGTGGAATAAGTGCTTCCCTGGCAAGCACAAGGGCCTGAGTTCAATCCCCTGTTCTGAAAACAAAACAAAAAACCCCCTTCAAATATTAAAAAGGACGAATTACCTTAAGCAGGTTGCTTAACCTCTCTGATCACTAGAGTCTTTTGGAGAGAATAAAATGATTTCCTGGGGTTGTGACAAGTGCAGAAAGAGCCGGTGAGTGTGGCAACCTGAAACTGCGCTGCACGTGCACAAGGAAACTCCTCAATAAATGATGTATGTGGTTATATTACTTGGGTCCTGATCTAATAATGATCATTTACAATATTTTACTGCATTTGTGCAGGGTTTTCCCCCCTAAAACTGGGGATTGAGCCAGGCGTGGTGGTGTACTTCTCTAATCCCAATATTGAAGAAGCTGAGGCAGGAGGAGCACCACTAGTTTGAGGCCATCTTCAACTAGTGGTGTAACTAGTAGTGAGGTCAAGAGCAACTTAAACTACACAGTTAGGGGGCTGGGGAGATGGCTCAGTAGAATACGTGCTTGCCTGGCAGGCACTAAGGGCCTGAGTTCAATCCTCAGTTCTGGGGGGGAAAAAAATTACATAGACCCTATCTCAAAAATCCAAAAGTGGTCAGTGTGTTTTGTGTGGTGGCCCACCTTCATTTACTTGGCCCAAACTTGCTCTTTGGAGTCTATTTCTTTTCTTACCTTTAATAAAACTTTGCTAACATTAAAAAAAAAAAAAATCCAAGAAAACAAAACTACTGAGGATTGAACCCAGGTTCTTTGCATTAAACTACATCCCCTTTTAAAATTTTTCATTTGAGTGCCAGGTGTAGTGGTGTTCACCTGTAGTCCCAGTACTCAGAGGATGAGGCAGGAAGATTGTTGCAAGTTCAAGAGCAGCCTTGGTGGGGGCCGGGAAGATGGCTCAGTGGAGTAAGCACTTCTCTGGCAAGCACAAGGGCCTGAGTTCAATCCCCGGTTCCGCAAAAAAAAGAGCAGCCTTGGCTACAAAGGGAGCTCAAGGCCAACCTGAGCTGC